TTGATCAGACTGACTAGGTATTCCTTGTAGTGCGCCCTGGAGAGAGAGAGAGTGTGTGTGTGTGTCAAGAAATACGTTTTGGTTAGAAAAGATATTTTAAACTGGTATCGCCGATACGATTAGAAAACTGTAATAAATGCTGATATTCAACTGTATTTGCTTAATGCGGAAAAAAGGGTACCGGATGCTATAATATTGGATTTAGTTTTTTTGTGTTTTTTTTTTAAACGTTTTATTGATTTTCTAATTTTACATTTAAGTATTTGAAAAGCCACGTGGTGGCTGGGTTAATCAAAACTTCAATAACACACAAACATCTTTAGTGCCAATCTCAAACTAACCGCCTTAAATCTTTCCTCTCTTTTCCCCTTGGTATTTACTGTCTCATGTTTAAACTAACGCCATTCTTATTATATGAATGAAATAAAAATAACATTCTTACCTTTATCAACAATTTTTAGCTTATACATATGCCGATTATTTTAACATTCGGTCTTTATATATAGACCATCAATGTCCTAATTAGTTTTCCCCCATTTTTTAGTTTTCCATTAGTATTTAAATTTAACGTTTAATATTTATAATTTCCAAGTTTTAAGCGAACAAAGTTCCCTTTATCACAATTCGTCACAAAGTCTAGTACTCAGGATACACATCTTATCTATTTGAAGAAGCTTATATGCACCACGGAATTACTAATGGACCCATTCAACATGTTGTTTATTAAGCACTTTTTTGTAAAAATAGAAAATTCATAATATATATTCAAATTCAAATTCAAATTTATTTGATTTATATACCACCCTTCTCCCTTGCGGGACTCAGGGCGGTGAACAGGCACATTAATAAAACAGCAATACCATAATATTTAAAAATATTCAAAACTAATTAAATTATTTGTCCTGTCCTAAAACCCACTATAATAATATAAAATTATACCCAATTTAAAATTGTACAGTTTCAGATTTATATATATTCCATGAGTGAGACCCTCAGATCTCCAGCCCCCCTTTTGTTAGAACCACCATCTAGTTCAGGGGTCTCCAAACTTGGCAACTTTTAAGATTTGTGGACTTCAACTCCCAGAATTCCTCATGCTGGCTGGTGAATTCTGGGAGTTGAAGTCCACGAGTCTTAAAGCTGCCAAGTTTGGAGACCCCTGGCCTAGTTGAAATCTTACTGGTCCCTCCAGGATCATAGAGATGGGAGTCCAGAGAGGTCATCAACTCTAACTCCTTTGAGAGTGCAGGGTGGGCCTACACACTGTTTGGGTGTGTGTGTGTGCGATCTAGTTTTGTTTGAAAAACTCCAAAGAAGGGGAAGAAACCCCTGGAGGCGGTAACCCAGGGGTCTTCAAACTTGGCCCTTTGAGGACTTGTGGACTTCAACTCCCAGAATTCCTCAGCCACCATAAGGGAACTACGACCCTTTTATGACTTGTGGACTTCAACTCCCACAATTCCTCAGCCAGCGTGCCTGGCTGAGGAATTCTGGGAGTTGAAGTCCACAAGCAGGGATCTTCAAACTCGGCCCTTTTATGACTTGTGGACTTCAACTCCCAGAATTCCTCAGCCAGGCACGCTGGCTGAGGAATTCTGGGAGTTGAAGTCCATACAAGGGCCAAGTTTAAAGACCCCTGCAGTAACCCCTTCAGCACTTCCTGTCAAGAACTCCTTCCTGATGTTCGCCCTGCTGGCTGGGGAATTCTGGGAGTTGAAGTCCACACATCTTAAGTCTTGCCCAAGATCTGAAACTCCAGCTTCCGCTTGTGTCTCTCAAAATATTCTTGGCTTCCCTCCTCTACAAATGGACCAATGTTGCTTTTTTCCCCAACCTACAGGCAGTCCTCGGCTTACGACCCTTTGTTTGGNTCCTTCCTGATGTTCGCCCTGCTGGCTGGGGAATTCTGGGAGTTGAAGTCCACACATCTTAAGTCTTGCCCAAGATCTGAAACTCCAGCTTCCGCTTGTGTCTCTCAAAATATTCTTGGCTTCCCTCCTCTACAAATGGACCAATGTTGCTTTTTTCCCCAACCTACAGGCAGTCCTCGGCTTACGACCCTTTGTTTGGCGGCTGCTCCAAGTTACAACGGCACTGGGGAAAAAAAGCGACTTTACGACCAGTCCTTGCACTTATGACCCAATTGCAACTCCGGGTTATTTACCACGAGTGCGAATGTCCCTGGGTGGGAGGGAAAGGTTGCAAAATCGGGGTCCGTCATGTGATGATTCACTTAGCGACGGGAGCGCTGGCCGACGTAAGTCGAGGACTTCCTGTATCATGTTTCAGCTCTGCTGGATCACCGCTAGGAATTCTGGGAAAGGGCCGCGATTTCCCGACTCCCCATAGAAGGGTTTTACTCACTCGCAAAGGCCAGCATATTCAGCCGGGGTCTCTTTGCCGCACGGTTCGTCCTTCAAGCCATCCAGCATTTCTTTCTGCTCCATAACCCGGCATCCCCCTGCAGGCAGAGAAAGAACCCCGATGTTTAAAGTGCGCCCCTTCGTTCCTTGGACCGGCGGTCCTCGACTTACGACAATTCAGCCCCAAATTTCCGTTGCTAAGCGAGATGTTGGTTAAGCGAGTTTTTTTCAACCTTTTTTGTCACAGTTCTTAAGTAAACCACTGCGGTTGTTAAATTAGTAACACCGTTGTTGAGTGTGGCTTTCCCCGCTGACTTTGCTTGCCAGAAACTTGGTGCCACCTTCATAAATGTGAGCCGGTCGTCAATCATCTGAATTTTGATCCCATGATTACAGGGAAGGCTGTAAAAGCCGTAACTGAAAACGGTCATTAAGTCCCGTTTTTCAGTGCCGTTGTAACTTGGAACGGTCACTAAATGAACTTTTCTAGATTGTGGACTAGCTGCGCGGTTATTTTATTTGGTTATTTTAAGGAGGTGAGCGGCCGAGGTTCACGAACGTAAAGTTGGGTGGCTATATACAAATGGAAATAAAATTAAAAAATGGAAGTGAAGAGGTTAAAAAGTAAAGCAGGGGTAGTCCCCCATTTACAACAGTTCATTTAGTGACTGTTCAAAGTTACAATAGCGCTGAAAAAGCAACGTGTGACTGCTTTTCACACTTATGACGGCTGCAGCACCCCCAGGGGTCACGCGATCAAAATTCGGACACTTGGCATTTGGTTCCTATTTATGACGGTTTGCAGCGTCCCGGAGTCACGCGTTCTGACAAGCAGAGTCAATGGGGGAAACCAGATTCACTTAACAACCGTGCTGTCAATTAACAAATACAAGTGATTCGCTGAACGACTGTGGCAAAAATCATCGTAAATCGGAGCAAAACTTGCTTAACAAATATTTCACTTAGCAACAAAAGTTTGGGGTCAATTGTGGTCATACATTGAGGACGGCCTGTGAAGGCAGAAGTGAAGTGAAGTAAAAGTAAAGTAAAGTAAAGTTAAAGTGAAGTAAAAATGAAGTTAAAGTGAAGTAAGGTAAAAATAAAGTTAAAGTGAAGTGAAGTAAAAATAAAGTTAAAGTGAAGTTAAAATGAAGTGAAATTAAAGTAAAGTAAAATAGCAACAAAGTTTGGGCTCCATTGTGGTCATACATTGAAGACTGCCTATGAAGGCTGAAGTGAAGTGAAGTAAAAGTAAAGTAAAGTTAAAGTAAAATAAAAGTGAAATTAAAGTGAAGTAAAGTAAAAATAAAGTTAAAGTGAAGTTAAAGTGGTGAGGTGAAGTGAAGTGAAGTGAAATAAAGTAAAGTAAAATAAAATAGCAACAACGTTTGGGCTCAATTGTGGTCATACATTGAAGACTGCCTGTGAAGGTAGAAGTGAAGTGAGGTAAAAGTAAAGTAAAAGTAAAGTAAAAATAAAGTTAAAGTGAAGTAAAGTAAAGTAAAAATAAAGTTAAAGTGAAGTGAAGTTAAAATGAAATGAAGTAAAAATAAAGTAAAATTAAAGTGAAATTAAAGTGAAGTGAAGTTAAAATGAAGTGAAGTAAAAGTAAAGTAAAATTAAAGTGAAGTAAAGTAAAAATAAAGTTAAAGTGAAGTTAAAATGAAGTGAAGTAAAAATAAAGTAAAAATAAAGTTAAAGTGAAGTTAAAATGAAGTGAAGTAAAAATAAAGTGAAATTAAAGTGAAATTAAAGTGAAGTAAAGTAAAAATAAAGTTAAAGTGAAGTTAAAATGAAGTGAAGTAAAAATAAAGGAAAAATAAAGTTATAGTGAAGTAAAGTAAAAATAAAGTTAAAGTGAAGTGAAGTTAAAATGAAATGAAGTAAAAATAAAGTGAAATTAAAGTGAAGTAAAGTAAAAATAAAGTGAAGTTAAAATGAAGTGAAGTAAAAATAAAGTAAAAATAAAGTTAAAGTGAAGTAAAGTAAAAATAAAGTTAAAGTGAAGTTAAATTGAAGTGAAGTAAAAATAAAGTAAAAATAAAGTGAAATTAAAGTGAAGTAAAGTAAAAATAAAGTGAAGTTAAAATGAAGTGAAGTAAAAATAAAGTAAAAATAAAGTTATAGTGAAGTTAAAATGAAGTGAAGTAAAAATAAAGTGAAATTAAAATGAAATTAAAGTGAAGTGAAGTAAAAATAAAGTTAAAGTGAAGTTAAAGTGGTGAGGTGAAGTCAAGTCAAGTCAAGTCAAATAAAGGTAAATTAAATTAAATTAAATTAAAGTAATAAAACAAAACAAAACAAAATAAAATAAAGGTCAAGTCAAATCAAGTCAAAAAGCGCAAAATATTTGAAAGTGCAATCTTTCATTCCGGACTTAAAATGAAGCCATCCCAGGACAGCTGGATTTCCCAGGATTTGGGGGGGGGTCACGCACCTCCAGGGGTAGCCCGGGTGCCCGCTGGGGGGTCCGTGTTGAAGGCAACGTTGTTCTCCTGGGATGGAGAGAAGAAGGGAAAAGGGAGAGAATCCCGATCAGTCTCCCAAGAAGCCTTTTCCTTAAACACCCGGGGGCTTCCCACGTCCCCCCTCCCCGCTCCTGAAGCCCCCCCATCCCACGTCCCCCCCAACCGCTCCCCCCCCTGACCTGGAGGAGCTGCTGCAGGCGCGGCACGGCCCAATCCCGCAGGTAGAAGAGGCAGTCGCGTGGATGGTGGCCGTGGAGGGAACGCCGGATCGGGCAGTGAGGAATCGGGCACTTCTGGAGGGAACAAAGGGTAGGATGAGAAAATGGCAGAGCTTCCCACCCAAGTGAAAATACAGGCAAGTCCTCGCCTTACGACCACGGCTTCCAAACTTTCAGAGTAGGAAAATGGCTCAGCTTCCCACCCGAGTGAAAATATACAGGCAAGTCCTCGCCTTACGACCACCAACTGAGCTCCAAATTTCCAGGGTAGGAAAATGGACGAGCTGCCCACCCACTCCTCTGAAGGGAAATACAGGCGAGTCCTCGACTTTACGACGGCAACTGAGCCAAACATTTACGTTGCTAAGGTGAGCAACTGGCTAAGTGAGTTTTACCCCGTTTTACGACTCTCCTGGCCACGTTTGTTAAATTAGTAAAAACTATTGTTAGGTGAATCTGGCTTGACTCGGTTTGTCGGGTCACAAAAGGGGATCAAGGCGACACACCCCCGCGACGCTGCAACGGTCATAAATATGAGTCAGTTGACACACGTCTGAATGTAAATCACACCATCGTGGGGAGACTCCGACGGTCGTAAGTGTGAAAAATGGTCGTAAGTCACTTTTTCCAGCGCCGTTGTAACTTTCAACAGTCACTAAGTGAACTATTAAGTCAAGGTCTATTTGTAAGGACAGTCCTCGGCTTACGACGATATTTGAGCCCAATATTTCTGTTTGGGAAAAATTCCCGCCACAAATGTCTTAAGTGGGACGTTGGTTAAAAAAGTTCTCTTTTACGACCTTCCCCGCCACAGTTGTTAATTGAATCACTGCAGGTGTTAAGTTCGTAAAACGGTCGTTAAGTGAAACTGGCATGGACTTTGCTTGTCAGAAGGTGGCAAAAAGGGGAATGCGTGACCCCTCCCAGGACGCCGCAACCGTCATAAATATGAGGCGGTTCCCTAGCGTCCAAATTTGGATCGCCTGACCACGGGGGTTGCTGCAACAGCAGCGTCGCAACTTGAAACGGTCACTAAACGAATTTTATTCCCTTTAATATGGAGTGTAGACAAAAGTCAGATAACCTGACTTTGTTAACAGACGTGTGATAAATAGCAATTTATATTAATTTTTTCCCAACGCAGCTCCCCTCCTCTCCGAAACATGGAACTGAATCCTGCTCCCTTTTAAATGGGAAAAGAACAGGCAGTCCTCGACTTAGAACCGTTTTGTTTCATTTAGTGACCGTTCAAGCTTACGACAGCATTCACAAAAGCAACTTACGATCATTTTTCACGCTTAACAACCGTTGCCGCATCCTCGTGGTCACGTGGTATCAAATTCGGACGCTGGGCAAACTGGCTCATAATTACGACGGTCGCAGCGTCCCCAGGGGGGGTCACACGATCCCGTTTTGCGACCTTCCGACAAGCGAAGTCCGGTGTGTGTGTGTGTGTGTGTGTGTGTGTGAGAAAGCCGGATTTGCTTAATAACTGTCTTACGAACTTAACTGCAGAGATCCGCTTCGTCGTGAAGTGGAAGGAGAAAGGTCGTAAAACGGGGCAAAAAACTCACTGAAGCGATGTCTCATTTAGCGACGTGAAATTTCGGGCTCCCTTGTGAAGACGCAGGAGGGGAACATTATCAAAGGAAAACCGGAGAGAAAGAACAGCAGAGACGGCCTTGAACAGACGAGGTGAAGGCCCAAAAAATGAATTCTGCCCAGGAAGTCAAAATAATGAGAAAAAAAAAAATCCAAACTCCTGAATTTTTGTCCCGCCTTGACAATTTTGAATGTTAAGAAAGAGGAAAGCCGAATAAAAATAATCTTTCCGGATCCTCTGATTACACCCGCTATCAAAAGAGCAGAGTTCCAGCATTTTAAAGTCCGTTCCTCACGCTACGGAAAGTCCTCCACTTAACAGCAGTTTCATTTAGTGACGGTTTAAAGTCACAACGGTCCTGAAAAAAGGACTGTTTTTCACGCCTAGCGGCCGTTGCACCATCGCTCACAGTCACCTGATCAAAATTCAGAGGCTCGGCAATTGAC